AGAGAGCGAGACAGAGAGAGAGAGAGAGGAGGAGGAGGAGAGAGGGAGACGGAGCAGAGAGAGAGAGGGAGGAGAGAGAGAGACACACACAGAGAGAAAGAAAGACAGAGAGACAGAGGGAGAGGGAGAGAGACAGAGAGAGAAGAGGAGGAGAGAGGGAGACGGAGGAGAGAGACAGAGAGAGAGAGAGAGAGAGGAGGAGGAGGAGAGAGGGGGAGAGAGACACACACAGAGAAAGACAGAGAGACAGAGGGAGAGGGAGAGAGACAGAGACACAGAGAGAGAGGGAGAGAGAGACAGAGAGGGAGGAAAAGAGGGAGGGAGGGAGAGAGAGAGGAAAGAGAACACCAAGGGCAGCCAGGACTTGATGCACGAATCTGAGGGGACCAGGCCTAGAGACCCGTTTGGCAGCATGGTGGGGTGTGAGCAGGTCCTGGCTCTGAGCCTGTTGACCCCCTCTCCTCTCCTCTCCTCTCCTCCCAGCCTCCCCGGGCCTGCGGTGCATGCAGTGTGAGGACAGCCAGAACTGCCTGGTGAAGGAGTGTGCCCTGGGCCAGGATCTTTGCAGGACCACTGTGCTTCATGAATGGGAAGGTAAGGTCGACAACCACACCGCCCCCAACAACAACAACGTGATAGGAAACCATAGGTCAGGAAACCTTCTCTCTCCAGATAGCAAGGAAATACAGACATTTACACATCTAATGAGTGCCGGGCGTTGGTGGCATTGCACGCCTTTAATCCCAGCACTCGGGAGGCAGAGGCAGGCGGATCTCTGTGAGTTCGAGACCAGCCTGGTCTCCAGAGGGAGTGCCAGGATAACCTCCAAAGCAATACAGAGAAACCCTGTCTCGAAAAACCAAAACTAAATAAATAAATAATAAAAGTAAATAAATAAACATCTAATGAGGAAGGAAGCAGGCAGATTTCTGTGCGTTTGAGGTCAGCCTGGTCTACAGAGTGAGTGCCAGGACAACCGGGGCTACACAGAGAAATCCTGTCTTGGGAAAAAAAAAAAAAAAAAGAAAGAAAAGAAAAAAGAAAAAAGTAAGATCAGCTACTCTTCCAGTGGCCCCAAGTTCTGGTATCCACATGGGGTGGCACAAAAACACCTGTCACTTAAACTCCAGGAAGGAGTTCTGTGCGCATAGTCACCCACAGACACACAAACCCTTGGTCTAGGTCACAGACCCAGGTTCAATTCTCAGCACCCACATGGCAGCTTATCACCTCCTCGGGCAGCAGGCATACATGCAGGGAAAGCACTCATATACACAAAATAATAAAATAAATCTAAAAAGGTTTTTAAGAAATGTTAGTGAGAAGCCCAACGCCTTTAATCCCAGCACTGGGGAGGCAGAGGAAGGCAGATCTCTGTGAGTTCAATGTCAGCCTGGCTTACAAATTGAGTTCCAGGACAGTCAGAGATACCCAGAGAAATCCCATTTTGAAAACCTTAAAAAAAAAAAAGTTGGGAGGCTGGAGAGATGGCTCAGCAGTTCAGAGCGCTGGCTGCTCTTCCAGAGGACCTGGGTTCAATTCCAGCACCCATGTGGCAGCTCACAATTGTGTGTAACTCCAACATTTGACAACTTTACACAGACATAAATGCAGGCAAAACACTGATACACATAAAACAAAAATAAATTATTTTTTGAAACGTTGGGGAGACCCTGGAGAGGGAATAAATTGGCACTGCTATGTATGGCAATGCCAAATATTTTTGCATCATTTTGGGGTTGGTGGCATTTGTGTGTGAGGGGGGTTGTTTGATTTGGTTTAGTTGTTGTTCGGTCTTGAAATTTTTTTTTCTTTTCTTTTTTTTTTGTTTTGTTTTGCTTTGTTTTGTTTTTTGAGACAGGGTTTCTCGGTATTGTTTTGGAGACCAGGCTGGCCTCGAACTCACAGAGATCTGCCTGCCTCTGCCTCCCAAGTGCTGGGATTAAAGGCGTGCGACACCAACGCCCGGAAAAATAATTTATTATTTTTTAAATTTGATGTGCATTGGTGCTGTGCCTGTGCATGTGTGTCAGGTCCCCTACAACTGAAGTCACAGACAGTTGTGAGCCACCATGTGGGTGCTGGGAATTGAACCCGGGTCCTCTAGAAGAGCAATCAGTGCTCTTAACCACTGAGCCATCTCTCCATCTTGAATTTTTTTCCCTAAGACAGGATCTCATGTAGCCCAGGCTAGCCTGAAGCTTGCAATGTAGCCAAGGATGACCTTGAACATGCCTCCTAAGGGTTGGGATCATAGGGGTGCACTGACTTTAATGTAACTATCTGAGTTAGAGGGCCGTAGAGACGCACACCTTTACTCCCAGCACTCGGGAGGCAGAGGCAGGAGGATCTCTGAGTTCGAGGCCAGTCTGGTCTACAGAGTGAGTTCCAGGTCAGCCAGGGCTACACAAAGAAACCCTGTCTTGAAAAGCCAAAAAACAAAACAAAACCAAACAAAAAATCCTATCTGAGACAAGGCTAGAGAGAGCTGAGCCGGTTAAGACACCTGCTACTAAAAAGCTGGGCACTTTGGTACACACCTGTAACCCTAGTACTGGGGAGGCTGAATAGGAGGATGGGGCCCCAAACCAGTCTGAGCTACATAGCGAGACCCTGTCTCCAAAAAGTTAGTTTTTTTTCTTCCTATTGAGATACTTCCCTGCTGCTTTCATTCACCGTAGGAATTGTAGATGGATCCAGAAAATCTAAATGATGTCTATGGGGGAGATAACAGAGTTGGCCCTAGCAAGAAGAAAGGCCCACAAGGCGTGGTGCTGGGACTGGGTGACCCTGAGACCTTGAGTGTCGTGGGCTGGTCGGGACTGGGGACTGAAGCTGCTTCCCTCACAGATGATAACGAACTGGAGTTGGAGATGAGAGACTGCGCCCATTATGAGAAAACCAACAGGACCATGAGCTATCGCGTGAACTCAAAGATCATCAGCCTGGCCGAGGTCGTGTGTGCCACAGACGTCTGCAACAGGCCGAGGCCTGGTGAGTCGGGTGTCCTCCTTGCCACCGCATGCCGAAGCCCTGATTCTACCCCCTGGCCTACATCCATCACCCCAGCACCAATGCTTTCCTTACTCCAGTACCTGGCTCATCCATCTCCAGCCCTGCCCCAATGTCATTTTTCCTAGCAGGGTCTCCCAGGTCATCTCCCTCCCTGTCTCGAAATATCCCCACACCCACTTGTCTTGTTTGGTTGAGACAAAATGGCACTACGCAGTCCAGGCTTCCCGAGGACTGGGATTACAGCTTTGAGCTGCCACAGCTAGCCCTCTTGAGATTATCACAGCATCCCTAGGCTGTGGGGATATCAAGCCTGGCTGTCCTGTATAAGATCTACCAACCAGGCTTGGTGGAGCTTATCTGTTACCCTAGTTGCTCGGGAGGCTGATGCAGGAAGATTATAAAGTGAAGGTCAGTTGGGACGACTTAGGGTCTGTCTCAAACTAAAAACTGGAAAGGACCAGAGAGATAGCTCCTTGGGTCAAGGTGCTTGTTGCTCGGGCCTTGTGACCTTAGTTTAATCCCTGAATCCATGTAATGCTGGAAGGAGGGCACTGACTCTCTACAAAGTAGCCCACCGACCTACACACTCATCATCATCATCATCATAGTAATACATTTAATTTTTTTAATCTAAAA